CGCCGTCCCTGTACCTGTATCCATGCTTCATAGCTTGGACCACTTAAGTTTAATGTATTCATTTAGTTTAGGTCACAAACATTTAGATTAACTCACAACTTTCATTCTAGATTTACGTTTTTGTCCATGCCCTTGTTAAAAAAATGTCCTGAATTTGTTACTACTACTAACCCTAAATATAAAAATGTTGAGTATTTAAATTTAAAAAAATGTTACATTTAGTAGGTAATCTCAGTTATCCCATATAACGGGTCACTTTCCACAAAGATTTGGATGCACCTTATAAAAAACTACATGCATGTATGTCTCTCTGTGTCTAAGTTTGTGAGTACCTGAGTTATTAGTTCTACTTCCAGAAGGTTTCATACATGGTAGGTAGTTGGTCAGAGACATCATACACTATGTGAAATAGGCTGCCTTTACAAGTATTGTGCTGTGTTTTTAAGTTTAGGTGCAAGAATTGTGGGTCTTGAATATGCACTATAAAAAATTGTTCCTACGTCATTTATGCATTACTCTGCTCCACCCCCACAACATGTTTCCATAAGCAGCAGCTCTACCAATCATTTCATAATTATGAATAAGCAAGACACGAAGCAAGGACCAATTGATTCCCGAGAACTACCACTACACTGCATTGCAGCCCAGCCAGACCCTAGGGCTATGCAAACGATAAGTTTGTTCGAAAATCTATCAACCCATTCTTTGCTGAATGGAATATATGTCTTTCTTATAAAGCACCATGATTCACCATACGATAAGCAGCCATTGTGCTTCAACAGACAGCAGTTCAACGCTAACTAAACAGCAAACTATAAGTAGCCATAATGCTCTTCAGTAATAAGTCCGAGGCTCTAGAAACACTTCGATCAGCGAAAACTAAACAGCAACCTCAGCCACCGAGAATTAAACTCTTAAAGGAAATAAACAAGATTCCTCAAGTGTTTAACATTATAAATATCAAACCTTTTTTCTCTTTTTCTAGGCACCTTATGGTTTTCAAAGTTACGCATTGCGATATTGTTTTCCCTTTGTTTCTATAACGTAATCACAACTCTTAGATTTCTTTCAAAAATTCAAAATTGAAACTTTACAGAATATAGGATGCTTCAATTCAGAAATCAGTGGTATAGCAAGAGGTACGTAAACCCCATCAAAACCCATCGCTCAAAGTAATCAGATTTCAATCTCTAATCATTCTAAATTCTCTTTCCGCTTAATCTAACTACATCAAACAATTGAATTCACATATCAATCAAACTATCCAAACAGTGCGTGCCCAAATGCATAAGGGTTACCAGAAGTGCTTTTCTGGGTCTCATTCCATTGCAAAAACTGCAATTATACATTCATCAATAAGTAACGAACCCAAAATCATCACACACACAATCAATACGTAATAAAATTTTGCGGAGTTTGAGAAGCCGTACTATTTTCGGAGATTTTCGGAGATTTGCGGAGATTTGCAGCCTGCGGTTGAGGTCAAGAGGGCGAACTGGGAAGGAGAATTCAAAAAAGCTAGGGTTTCGACAAAGTAACGAGGGATTGCTGAATGCCAGTGGGAATCGAACGAGAAAGAAACAAACTGGATTTTCGCTATGGAGTTTCGTTTTCCTTTCACATTTAGCAGGTGAGTAACTAATCTTCTTTTTATTCTTTTTTTTTTTTTTTTTTTTTCTGGGAGTTTTAACGAAAAGTTCACGGTACTGTTTATTTTAACGAAAAATCATATTTTTACACTAAAAAGTCAAACCTGGTACTATTTACTTTACCTTTTATTTTGTCTATCATTAAAATTCAAAGTTTTCAAACCCTTTTCATTAGGTTTTTTTTTTTCTTCTTTTAACAGAATGATATTTGTTTTTTAGATTTTGTCTTTAAAATAAAAACTCGTTAATTTAGATCCTTGAATTGAATAAAAAGGTAGACAATTGGTTACAGTTAACTACCGTATTATTTTTTGAGAGAAAATAGGGTATTCATTGATTCGATAATGATATAAGCGTACAATGAGAGAAAATGATGTATTAAAGGATTTCAATAAAAACCTTGCTACGGACTTCAATTCGGTCGAAAAGAAAAATAGCGTCTCACACCAAGAAAATTACAAAGCTATGCTATCCTTGAACATAAAATCAGTGATTACATCAAGAGGTTCCTCAAACCACACAATTTGTTAATCCAAGAATAAACCCAATCTAGCCAATCCGTGTGCAATCTTGTTAGCCTCCCTTTAAGTAAAAGTCAGGCTTGTGTGGGGAATCGAACGCAAGTTGTGTCGAGCATCACCAAATGTCCCAAAGGAGACGTATCATCCTCTGTATTACGTTGTAGCGCCGTAAGAACCAACTATGCATCTCCTTCGAAGTCCACTGATGCGGCATGCACATCTCATGCAAACATTACTGTTGAACGAGCTGCCATCATCTCAGCCATCAAAGGCGAAGAAACTCCAGCTTGCTTAAGGGCCATCGCTGCCACAAACTCTCCCATTTCATCTCTGAACACCACGCCCACTCCTGTTTCGCCATTTTCCTCCAACGCCCCATCGAAATTGCATTTCAACCCCCCAACCTCAGGCTTCTTCCACTTCTTTGCAGTAACTTGCTTTATTGCCATTTTCTTTCCGTGCCATTTTTTTGTATTTATGCGACCAAGCTTGAATGCTACGATGGATATCCATTGGCTGCTGTGAGACTCCACTCCAATAAAAGGAGTTGTGTTCCTACCAAATACTCCAAATGAGCATCAAAACCATATCAAAACTCTCCCTTGCCATTGCGTGAGTCCGAAAATAGGGAAGGGGAAGTATCTTCTTCAGTGAATCCCTCTTGTTCATGTCTTGTCTAGTCCCCTTTGTTTAAGAAGTTGTTTCTATTTCTACATCTGTTTCTTTCTCACTTTCCCCCATTTCTTCCGTTTCTAAGGTTTCTAAGGTTTTCTTGGTAATAATGGGTGACAGTATTCTGCCTAAATAGTAGACACATGTAATAAATAAGATATTACTGAAGTTTCGAGTCATTGAACTCTCAATTCTGACACAAGGTACTTATTAGATCTAATAAGTACATTAGATCTAATAGAATTATTTAGCTGTATCCAGCCTAATACCAACCCATTTCATGAATAAAATGTGACAAATTTCACAAAACAAACATGAGGCATCCGTGATGATTCTCCATTTTAACAGATTCGCCCTTGTTGGTAATGCATCCATACAACTCCGTCATACACAAATTTTAACTTTTCCTAGTACACAAGCCCTCCATGAAGCTTTCCACAAGAATTTTGTTTCAGGTCCCAAAGAAGACCCCCTCGGTTCATTTCCTGTTACCTCCTCACAAGTACGTGCCAAATGATAACCACTTCGTGTAGAGAACTTCCGTACTATTTTTCAAAAAAAAAAGTTTTATGTATGAAATTTCGTTAGTTTGATGATACGGCCACATGTGGGTCCCACATATCCAATTATACGAGCCATGTGGGATCCACATGTGCCATTATCTAACTAACAAATTTGTTTTACATAACCACAAAAGACCAATTGTAAATGTTTTGTTATATTCAATGATCAAAATTAACATATTTTTAGGATCCAATCATACAAACTCACATGCATTGGATCCTATTAAAACTCTGAAATTAAGCAAGTTTAGGCAATACTACTAGAATAAGTGACCTCCTGAAAGGCTAAAAGTCCTTGTGTTGCATCCTCACCCCTTTTGTTCAAAAAATAAAATAAAAATCAACAAAATTTTTAATTCAAAGAAGAATATTGCCACTTTTTATTTTTTTTTTGTCAAACGATAAATTTTGTTAGATTGGTCACCAAAGGGATTTGAACCCACGCCGTCATGTAAGGGCTCAACACTTTTCACCACTATGGTAAAGGGCCACTTGCAAATATTGCCACTGAGAGAGAACAATCTGCAAGCACATAGACCTTTATGTGCTAATCGGCTGCATGTGTTTTTAAGTGAAAATCATATTTTTCATGTTTTTTTTTTATTTGGCTTTGATTCGAAATCAACTATGGCCACTTAGTATTACTATCTAGTGATTTTCTTTTTCACTTGAAAGTAAGAAGTTTTAGATTCGATTCTCACCAAAGGCAATTTTTTACCTAATTATTGCTAACATATTGTGAGGCTAAGTTATTCATCTCTCTTAGTGTAGATAATATCGTTTGTTCAAAAAAAAAAATTGAAATCAATTATGAAAATATGCCTTGTTATTAGTGTAATTGGTTGATTTTTGAAAATCATTACATTTCATATTATTCTTAATCGTGTTAGTATCTTAAAAAGCTCAACAAGAAAGTAATCGATGGCCATGTTAATTGTTGTACCACTTCTACTCGAAAATTGAAGAGAGATAAAGTAATAAAGTGCAAAGGCATAACTGCCTACTAGTATATGTGTCTAGTTGATGAGTTCTGTAAGTCTTCCTATACTCATTTCTCTTAGTGTTTGTCTTAGTTGGAAGCTCGAGGACTTTTCGAGCGGTGAGTTTTGCTTCACTAAATCCTACATCCGGTGTGCACATTTTATTTGTTTCTATAAGTGCATGTGTAAGATACTTTTGTATGTTATATGAGTGTGAAAATTAAACTAGTACTCATCCCAAGACTTTCAGATTCCCTTTCTATTCCATTAATAAAGAATAAGAAATTAAAGCACATAGTTTAATATCTTAATAGATAGCGTGTCAAATTTTTACTCGTGCATCTCGAGTTCGAAATTTGATAATGGTTACACAACACTGAAATCTAAGTGGTAATCAATGGAGCACATTACCAAATTAAACTAAAGGAACAAGAGGCTTTTATCCACCCGCATTTAAGGAATTTCAACCCATTTTTCCACTTTCAGGTAAAAAATCATAAGTTCGAATCTAGCAAATAACGCATTTGAAACTAATTTATTCCCCGGCCTTCTAATGTAAATATATCATTATATATCATTAGATGCGAATAAAAAGATTTTTTTTTACCCAAAAAATAAATAAACATAACCAATTCTCAACCATATTTATCTTCAATCTTAATACAAACAATGGTGCTTTGTTTCTGTTGTCCGGATTTCTACTTCATCGGTTCTTTTTTACATGGGACATGGTTTTCAGGCATACTGCTGCTGGTCCTAATCACAGATTCACAGAACCGAAAAATAATACAGAAAAGAACCAACAACTCAGCGACTTATTGCATACATGTACATATCGAGGGGCATAACCGGTGGGTGTGGGTGTGACCGCGGGCACAGTCAGTAACAAGAAATGAAGTCCATAAGAAGAAAAGGCCATCTTCAGTAACATTTAGAAACATTAAAAACAGCGGATCCAACAGTTCAGAGTGATATCGGTATTTTGAGGATACGCCTTAACGACCAATGGTTTAAGTAAAACCATGCTATTCATTTTATACTACAGCCTTTGGTATGGGGCGGATTAGGCCATAGTAAGTTTGAGGGGGGGCTTACCTTTATGCCATATGCGGAGATCCATCTTGAGGCTGCCACCATTTTCGAAAAAACCACATGGGATTATCAAGTGATCTGTCGAAGAAGGGTTGCTAACCTGGCCAGGAATGCTCTTTGCGAAAGACTGAAGTCTGAGACTACTTCCCTTTCCATTCTTGGTTCGAGCAAGAAGATCATAGTAGAAGCCTCCCATGAAGCTGGGTTGAATACAACTAATCGACACTATATTTCCAAGACTTTCTTCCACGTTGTCGAGGATAAATAATGTGCCATCATTCTGTTCTTGAAGAGTATGGGATTTTTCCCTGTGAAATAACGTGATGGAAAAAACACACAGTTGTACCGGAAGCGATATGCAGAGTTCACATGATTACTGCTGAAGTGTTGGTACAACTGCTTGCTTGGAGAGACAAAGTTGCATCCTGACTGGGGGCATGAACAAGGTGAAAATATACATGCCTTTTCATGTTCATTTTTCTTGTTGTAAGTCATCGACTCTTTGCAGCCATGCTTGATGTTTTGACATGAAACTCTTATTGCTTCCAGAACGTTCTCAATGGCTCGGCAACGATTATAACCAATGGGCCAGGAGCAGGTGGGACATTTATTTTTACTCTTGGTGCAGCAAGAGGAGCAAGCTATATGCCCGTTTTCACACTGATTCCAGAAAAGCATTTAAAAGTTAGAGGTTTGATTAATTAACTTGAAAAGCCTCGTTTGGTATAAAGGATTGTATTGGACCAAGGTACTATTTTCAACGTTTGTTGAAGGAAGAAATGGAAGGTCCAACTTGGAGGTAGAAGATGGATTGCTCAGTAGAAAACTTATCCATTCCAATCCCCTCCAAAACAGTAGGATTAGAAGAGAGAAGCTTCCTGCATGCCTAATCCCCTCAAGGTGAAAATTCATTCTCCTCTACCTTCAAAATGCCTTGAATTTAGAGGATTCTCAATTCCAATCCAATACTAATGACCAAACGAGGCCTAAGGCATGAATTATGTGCCTGGAAGGGATATCAAGAGCTAAATAGATACAAATAAACTAAGCCTCTTTGGTTCAATTTTACATAAGCAAAGTAGCACTGTCACCCTATGATACTTATATTACTCAGTTTATGTACTCTTATATATCTTGCACTGGCAAATAGAGAGAGAGAGAGAGAGAGGAAGAAGAAGAAGAAGAAGAAGAAGAAGAATATTTAAGACAGAAAACCAGACAAAGAACCCACAGAACAACTAACTAGCAATCTCTATAAAATTAAGAGTCACCGAAAACTAAAAATAACAGGCTACCACAACAAGAATCTAGGACACAACTTTCCAATTGGACAGTACAACAGAAAAGGATAGTCTATAAGTTCTGGAGAACCTAAGCCCATAAAGCTGCCCAAATTCAGACTCTCACACACAAATTATCCACCTCCTCCCCACTAAACATGGTCAAAATATCACATATATGTCTTTCAACCCAAAGTACCACAACACACTTCCCTTGAAAAAAAAAAAAGAGATACCTCTCACACTAAAAGCAGCTGATGAACATGGAATCATTCAACTAAAATCGGCCTCCCCGAACATCCTAGACTACAAAGACAATGAAACAGGACAAGGATGAAGCAAATGGTCCAAATCCAGACCCACTTTTACGCATAGCACACCAATAATTAGAGCTTGCTCAAGTAATTTAAGACAATACAGGCTATTAAGGAAGTTACCACTATTCCTAATGCTTTTGCGCTTATGACACCCTTCTTCTTCCTTTGCAGAAAAGCTTTCCTGTGTTTTCATGAATTTTTAAGCCGCATATAGCATAATTGAATGCATTTGGGTCATGTCATGCCCATCGTTAATTCAGGTTCCAGATCCAAAGTGGACCCCAAAGTTATTGTACTTGTGTCCTAAAGTTATGAAAACATGTAACTAACAACTGACCACAATAAAAGATTAGGGTCTTTTTTTATTACCAAAAACTTCAGAGGTCAGAAATCCATTTGTTTACAGCAACCCAAACAAAACAAGATCAAATAAAAACTAGCCATAGGAACAAAAGAAAAGAGAAGCACCAAATAAAATAGCTGTCTTCCAATCTAGCAACAAGGTAGGCAAACTCACACCCCAATAATCATTAGACACTGAGACCCGAAGAGGTGATAAAATTAACACCAATCAGATGCCCAATGAGAGGAGTGCATCTAGATTCCAGAATGCTGCTTTTATTTTTACATCAAAATAGAGCAGTTTTATTAATGATGAGAATTATTATTCAGGCTCCAAGCTTTCTACTAACCAACTCGGAGAAAGAAGATTACTCTTTGCCAAGTCAACGGATCTTAATGTGCAAAGACGCTACGAGTGTCTTTTAACCCCAGATGAAGCTTTAAGCAAAGTTATTAGTCAAAACCTTGGAATTGCTCAACTTCTAACCAAAACCACCCAACTCTCAGACATGCTAAGCCTCAAACCAAGGGCAATGTGTGGCATGGTGGTGTGGTTCAAGCCAAGGAGGAGTCTTTGTTTGTAAGGAGATCAGTTAGACTAATGAGGAGTCCCTGATGAAGTTTGGTTGTGTTGTACTTTTATACGCAAACGAAATCGAATTCTAACAAAGTACCAATATCAATGTCGTAGGTGAAAGCTAAAACAAACAATCTCAAACTAACACGAGATTTACGTGGTTCGGCGTAAAGCCTATGTCCACGGGCGAAGCACTGCAAGGAATTTCACTAAACAAACGGAGATTACAAAAGAGTATTTAAACTCTCACAACCCAAATCCCACAAATTACAAACCCTAAACCAAACGAGTAGAGAACTCAAAACAAATGGAGAAGATTCTCCCAAATTGCTCTCTAACTCACAAACTCACAAATTGACTCTCATCAAATTACCACACGAATGAGTCAAACAAAATACACTAACCCTAAGATCCTATTTATAGTGCATAGTACTTAGGTTACAATAGGAATCCTAATAGGAAATAAATCCAAATCCTAATCAAATAGGTAATTAACAAAATCTCTCCACCAAAGAACCTAACCTAACTAAGAAGTTAAAACCAAACCCAAATAGGACACCAAAACCAAATAGGTAACACAAACCTAATTTATCGCATCATCCTAATTTTGAGCCAAAAACCCAACAGGTTGCAGATCATAATCTTGGAGGAGTTTTAGAGAGGGTGCTGTTTTAGACCAAGTAGTGTCCTTTTACTAGGCAAACGTACATATTGACTAATAGACAACAAACAAGTATAAAAACATGTTGCTTCAAAAAGGTACGTGATAAATTTATCGAAAAACACCTTGAAAATTACTACAACTTTATTGCATCACTAATCACCATGGGAGGTCCCATAATCAATTCACAATAAACCACGAATTTGGATGCAGTTAGTTGTCTTGAGACTAAGTTATTTGGATCTTTCCTTGGGGGGTAATCTTTGTCCCTTATCATTTTGGGATCCGTGTTGGCAAAAATTAGGTTCTCATTACAAAAACCAAAGGAGAATGGTCGGGAATAAAACTTGGAAACTTAGGGAAGAGAAATACAGCTTTACTGGGAAAGTGGCTGACTTTCCTTAAAGAGCAACACTCTTGTGCGCATCAGTCAATGACAGTACATAAGGAGCTCATGCCAATGTCCTTTGAAGTACCCCTCTCAGGGGTATCCTTTTCTCTCTCTATTCTAAAGTTTGTGGTAGGTAGACTTTTATAAGCATTAACCCCCTAAACCATATTGCCGCAAGCACTTACCTAAGAACACTAAGAAACTACATCATACAATGACGATCCTAAATCAAATTCAATCAGGATTGAATTATAGGATGTTCTAAGTTTCAGCATATAAACAAGACATTTAAATTAGCCCCCAAACCATATCGCCGCAAGAGCTAACCTCAAAACAATGAAAAAACTACATCACTACATTCAAAATCCCCGATCGAATTCAACCGGAATTGAATTGTTGACGATTCTAAATCCTGGCAGACAAATCACGAGAATTTCCTAATCTGATACACGAATCAAAGCAAACAAACGAACGGCTCATATAAAATCGCAGACAATAGATTCTCAGTGCAGACCCAACATTAGAAACGAAAAGGGCTACCAATTCAAATCTGGGAGAGAGCATACCTGGTAGACAGGGACCGTCAAGGGCTCACAGCAAATGAAACAATCAAGGACGTCTGATTCGGTTAGGGTGAAGACAACAGAGGCATCGATGGCGGTGGCGGTGGCGGTGGCGGGGGCGGGGGCGGGGGCGGCGGGGGCGGGGGAGATGGAAGGAGGAGCCTCTTGGACTCCGGCGGCGGTGGCGGTGGATGCAAGGCTGCCCGAAGCAGAACCTACTTGACGGTCGTTGTCTCTTGCGAGGTACTGGGCAAGAGAACGAACGAGAAGCCGCCGCGGAATGCGTGGTGGTGATTGGGGTAAGATGGTAATTTCAGCTGCTTCTTCCTCTTCATCACTTTCGTCGCTGTCTCCGGTGTCGGCGTCTTCATTTCCAGGACTTTCTTCGTCGTCGTCTTCTTCTACATCGTTTTCGCTCTCACTATCATCTTCTTCTGCGGATACTCGTTCATCTTCTTCCTCGACGATCTGTAGCTGTTGTGGTGGTTCTGGTGGCGGCGGCGGCGGTTGTACGATTCTGGTGGGGGTGCTGGCGGAGGTGGATGCGTTAAATCGACGAGAATTCAGACCGTTCAGACGAGGCCTTTTGTGCCTGGGGCTGCGGGATCCCTCGCCTTCTCCGTCCTCATCTCCGCCTAACGAGAATCTCGCCATTCCTCTCTCTCAGTCTCACTCTCCCCAATAAAATAAGAGAAATTTAGAAATATGCCAATTTGAGCAGCACTTATTAAAACTACCCTTCCGGCACGCAACTTGAGTTCGAAAAAAGGAAATGAAAAGCCTTAAACTTTGAGTTTTAACGATAAGGACAAAATAAATGGTAAATTAAATAGTATCAGGATTGATTTTTTAGTGTAAAAATATGATTTTTCGTTAAAGTGAACAGTAACGGATGCTTTTCGTTAAAGTTCCCTTTGAAAAATCTTTTTTACATCATAGCGCGCTACGCTACAGATTCTATTAATCGCAAGCGTTGCACCCTTTTAAAAATCTTTTAAATATACGACGTTTATTTGTAATCTTGCTCTAAGTCCCTCTATCTTTTACTTTAGATTAATTTATAATGTTTAATTTTTTTTGCCGATTTCTTCTTTTGTTAGACCCTTTATTTCTTGCGGGCGCTATGCACCCCTAAATTTTTTTTTTTAAATATACAACGTTTATTTGTAATCTTGCTCTAACTCATATTTTTTTGCTTTAGAATTCATAATGTGTAATTTCTCCACCAATTTCTTCTTTTGTTTTATACTGGTAGCATTCTTTCTCGTTCTTTTTCCTCCCAAATTATATTGTACATGTAAAAGCATAATTAAAATCACTGAAAAAATTGTAGAACTCTTATGCCTATTAAAACTAAGAATGATACAAACCTAATCAAAGGGTGTAAAGAAAATTAAAAATCCCACCAATTGAATACAAAAAATAAAATACATCCACCAACGAAGATACAAACCTAATCAAAGTGTGCAAATCCCCGAGATGCTTTGGTGCATTCCTTATCCTATATTGTCGCTACAGTCCTTAGTGTCCTTGGTGAATTGACGGTCCCTCATCATCTTTTTTCTCGACAGCCCTCTTCCCCTTTATATCTTCCTTGAGCAAAAGATTAAAGCAGAAACTGAAACCCTGATCATTCCCAAACATGCAATTGGAAACTGAATACAAAGAAAACATGAAATTAGAGGACCATACAGAATTGGGCTGTGGATTGGACAACACTGACACCATAGCTAGGACTTATGGACCTTGTAATTATAATATAAGTATGTGCGTACCTTTCTGCATGGCAAGAAAATAGTGATGAAGCACTCTAATTCTGCTATTTAGCATCTTGATGACACTGTGAATTCCTGTAAGATGAGCAGCCACTGCACACAACCCAGGTTGTATTAGTTTGTATCACAAATATAAACCTTTCTTATAACTGGATGATCCGCTAAAATGATCGAAACTGTCCTTCCCATTGAAAGTATAGACGATCTGCTAGCAACCTAAAATCCCAAAAACACGTCAATAAAAACCTCAAACTTTGAAGCGATTTCATAAATGGACGTGGGAGTTTGAAAACTGATTGGAACTGCTATGCAGTTTGAACAAACGTGCTGGACGTGGTGATTCTTTCCCCCACGTAATTATTTTTTGTTCTTTTTATTTTTAATCCTGTTTTGTTTCTAATTTTTGTTATTGCATTATTTTCAGCTAGTTTTAGGGGATGTATTCAATTAAGATTTTGAGAGCGTTTTAGGGAATTAATAATTTCAAGAGTATTCAATTATGAATTTAAAAGATTTTATAAAAATCTTGGTGTATTCAATTGAGATTCTTAAAGACTACTTACAATTCTCTATAAATTTGGGTGTATTCAATCATAACTTTTTGAAAGCCTCTAAAAGCTTAGGTGTATTGAAAAAGGAACTGGATTTGAACAGATTTGTGATTTGGTGGATTTTGAAGGATTTCAAGGTGATATGTATAAATACCAAAGAGCTTGGCAAATCTCACCTTAACCCTAAAAACTTTGAGAGATTTTGAGCATGCTGCTCTCTCCTGTAGAGGGCGTCTTCCCCGGTCTCCGTCCAACACCCTCTCTCTCTGCAATTTGGGTTTCTTGTCGTTTCGAATTCTTTGCGAAGGTACAATCTTTCTTCCTCTACAACTTTTCCCATTGTTTTGAATATTGTAAGCCCATACGCAGCGGTAGTCCTGTTGTTCTTCGTCTACTTCGACTCTAGGGTCTCCTTGTTGTGTAATATTGCTTTCGTGCTCGTTTATGGTATAGGATTATGGGTTTTGTTTCTTTTTTTTGGGGGGTTTTTTTTCAGCAATTTGTTTATTTTTAGGGGTTTATTTGGTTAGCATTGTTTATGTTCTACGGGTTTTTTTTTCAGCGATTTGTTTATCTTTTAGTCTTTTTTTATAGTCATTTATGCTTTTTAATAATATGTCAATATGTTGCTTAAAAAGCTTTTATATAGTCATTTGTATATCTTCAAAAATTAACATTGTGAACTTCTTTGTGATAGGGTCCCAACCAAATCCAGAACTGTATCTAAAAAGCTGGCAAATTGATTGAAATCGACCCTTCAATGTTTTCATGCGTGTAATGACCCATCCCCAAATTTTAAGGTTTTAATAATTTTAATTTTTGAATTTATGAAAATGCCCTTCGAAACAAATACATTGACTTTTGTTGACTGCCTTGTTGTGTCATGTAAGATTTGTTTTCTTCGCGTATCCTCATAATACTTGTTGCTACGAGCGCATAAGCGCAACGAAACGTAATTTGGAGTTATAACGAAGGAGTTATTAACAAATGAAGTCAGGGACAAAATAGTAAATTGATTAATTTCTAGAAGGCTCCAGATTTTTGGAGCAAAATCTGGAAAGCCACATGTGTGGCTCAGATTGAATAAATGAAGAAGCAGATGGTTGGGAGAAGAAATAAAGGAAAGAAAGGAGGGGTAAGACGCCCATTCAAAAGAGGAGAGAGAAGAGCGTGACCAATGGGAGAGGAGAGAGAGGAGAGAAAGGAGAGAAATGAGAAAAGAGGAGAAGGAGAGGAACCCGCCGAGTTCCCCTTGACTTGTACCCGACCCAGCGGCATCCATGCTTTCCGATGCCATTCAGGCGATTTTTCCGGTGAATCACGTCCTACCCCCACTACCAAACATCTACCTGACCTCCCCTCGTTCATTTCCACATAAAATCCACCTAGATTGACCACGTTTTGAGGAAGAACGAAACCTGTGGGTTCCAAAGGTGTCACGACAGAGATCCGCCCATCGTGAAAGCATCATCGACCATTACCACCATCAAACCACTCACTTTGAACCCAGAAACAAAGCCCAAAAAATTTTGGGGGCGTCGGAGTTCGAATTAAAGCACACCATTTATAGGGTTTCTGACATGTTTGGGTGAAATTAAGGCTTTTTCTGGCCAAAGTGGCCTTAGTCACAGGTATAAAAGTTATTCCTCTCATTGAGATCTTCATTTCTGTGAAGTTCGATAATTTTTAGAAATAGTTAATTTTTCCAGCGAGTCGGGCGGCCGACCGTCGTGTACGGCGACGCGTGGTAATGGTGCGTGGATCGAGGCATCCTCTAACCTTTCTAGGCTAAATTTGATTCTCCAATTCCATACATGAAGTCCGATCGACGAACTTCCGTCGTTTGATCCTAGTTCCATTAAGGTCCACCACTTGGTTATTATACCAATCGACGATCCGACCGTTGGATCGTCACCAAATTTTGATACGTTATAGTATGTAATATTTGAGGATATTAGAAACTTTCAGATTAGGAATCCGATTTATGGATCTTCCCGAATAGGATATGTAAGTTATATGTTTTATTGATAAGAATTACAAGACGTGATTTGATAATTGTTTTAAGCACCAATGGTTCGTGATGCCTTGATATTCGTGCTAGGGAGTTGTAGCATGGATCTCAGGTGAATGGGTCTTTTTCCTTTTTATAGTATATATATATATACACACACCTTACGGTTTTCCAAAAATGTTTTAAACTGATTATGCATAGCATGCCATGATTTAAATGTGTTATGGTTAAATATTGTATTGTGATCAGATTTGTGGTTATGCCAAATGATCCTACGGAGGCGCATGTAAGTTCAGGTGAGTTATTATGTGATTGAAATGGTTGAATTATATGAGCATGCATATATTCATTTAGAGTTCATCATTGCTGCACCCCGGTGTTAGTGCCTTCGCCCCGAGCTAAGGCACAACCTTCACGTTATTGTTCACCTCCCACACTGCATGCTCGCCTTGGATCCAAGTTAGGTGCTAACCTGTTGTACATGTCACATTAGGTGACTCCGACTCGTAGGTGACCCGTGCATAGCGTTAGTTTCACGTGATCGTAGCACTTGAGCGTATATATTTACACCCAGCCTGTTGTATAGGTCACACTAGGTGACTCTGACTCGTGTGCTAGCATAGATTGATGAGCAATAGGTCCAGTCATACAGGTCACATCAGGTGACTTCGACTGGCATATTAATTTAGACTGATCTCACACCTGGCTTACATTTATTATTACTGAGATATTATGGCATGGCATGCTTCTGTTTTTTACAACACCCGTGCATTCATTTTTCATACCTATGTAGTATTAGTTTTTGGAAACTATACGGGTTTTACGACGAGGGGTTATAACGCTTTCAAACGGTTTTTATTAAAACTTTATTTTCAGGCCCACTCACCCTTGTTTTTCACCCCTCCAGGTTCTAGTAGCAGAGTTTTCATACCGACGAGGATTATTAGCAAATCTTGGGGTAGACGATTACCATCGATGGTATATTTCTCACCCTATTTTACTATACTGTACTTATGCTCTGTCATCATGTGTGAAATGGGTTCATACCTGCTCACCGCGCACTTTTATACTTAGGCACTTTTAGGTTTAAATTTATTCACATTTTCTACATCAATACACTTTATGGCTTCGTCACCTTCTAGGTGTTCGGCCAACACAGCTCGATTCGGAGTCTTATTGGACATCTCGGGTTGGGATATGTCAGTTTGGTATCAGAGCATAAGTTGGGCAGTATTGCGTTCATCACACGTGTGATGTAAGCATTCTTGGTTCTTGAGCCTAATATTCGAATCTTGTTACCTCGTCGAATATGAAAAATATGTTAGCTTTATTAAGGATGAAAGTGTAAATATCTCTTCAAGAGATAAAACT